ATTCTTTGCATGTTAATAAAAAAGGAATACAAGAATGCTGCTGGAATAAAGACAGCTGTGCTGATTAATGAAATTGAGCATCTAGTAACAAACCCTTATGTTTTAAGTTTTTATTTTATTGGTAAAGGATATTTAGGTATGTGCCTGTGTGTGAGTATGTACACATTCATGTGGGTCCCTATGGAGGACAGGAGAGGATATTGGATCCCTTGGAGCTGGAGTTAAGAGCATGACCTGTGTGCTGGAAACTGAACTCTGAAAACACAGTGGTGTTCCTAATGGCTGAGCCACCGCTCCAGCTCCCATGGTTTTAGACAGTTGTTTTTGTACAAGGATATAAGTACAGACCTAGGGACAAAAAAGTAATCCTGTCAACATTTGATGCTGGCACTGTGATTGTCCACATATTGAAGAATGCACTTGGACTTATCCTTCCCACCATATGCAAAAATTAATTCAGTGCAAATCAATGTCTTAAATGTAAGAGTTAAAACTACAGGAACTCTACCTGTGTTTAAATCACATTGACCTTGGGTTAGTCAATAGTTTCTTTTTTTAAAAGTTTTTTTAAATTAATTTTTTATGTGTATGAATGAGTGTCTTGCCTGTGTGTGTGAGCAGCATCTATGTGCTTCATACCTAGGGAGGTCAGAGATCTGGCCTCAGATCCCCTGGAACTTGACTTAAGGACAGTTGTAAGCCACCATGTTGGTGTTGGAACCAAATCTAGATCCTTTGCCAAGAACAGCAAGTGCTCTTAACTGCTGAGCCATCTCTCCTGCCTCTATCATTTCTTAGGTATACCACATAAAGCAGAAGCAACCAATTTAAAAACATATTCAACTTAATAAAATTAAATTCCCCTATTACAAAAATATCGAAGTGAAAAGGAAAAACCTCAAAGTGGGAGAAATAGTTACATATCATATATCTTACATGATTTGACATCAAGAATGACCATTCTTTCAATACATAAGACAAATGACCCAGTTAAAGATGCACAAACTAATTAAAGTGAAAACTTGTTTTAAAAAGATACACACATAACCAATAAGCATATGGAGAAATGGTCAATATACCAACTAGCAGTATGAAAATTCAAGTAAAATTATGATAACTTTGTATAATGTTACATAATGCATATGATGGGCAATACAAGTGTGGATGAGGTGCAAAGAGTCTTGCTAGTAAGGATGTAAAATGGTTCATTTTGGGGAAAAGTTTGGCAAATTCTTAAAAATGAAGTTACCATGTGACCCAGCAATTCCACTTCAAGGTGATATTGAGGAAAAATTAAAACATAATCCACATAAAAGCTGTACATGTAGTTTAATTACTGAACTACTTAAGCTGGAAAATGAATACAGCTGATATGTCTATCAACAGCCTAATGGCTATACAAAATGTGCTGTAACCACACTATGAAATACTTTGCAGCCATAAATGAATAAATCACATGTACATGATACCCCATAGGTAAATCTTGAAAGCAAGCTATTGAGATAGAAGTAGGGTAGGAAAGACTACACGGACTGCATTTCCATTTGTATGAAAGCACAGAACAGGAAAATCCATGGAGACAGAAAGTAGATGGGTGATTGCTAAGCCTGGGAAGGAGGCAATGAGACTGCCCCCTAATTGGTATGGCACTGCTTTCCTGGGTGAGGCACATACTCTGGAATTAGACAGTGCCGATCATTGCACGACTTTGTGAATATCAATAGAAACTTTGGAATTGTATACTTTATAATTGTAAATTTCATGACATATAAAAAATGGCATCTTTGGGCCTTTTCAAAACAGGAAAAATTGCATGTTAGTAACATATGTTCCTAAATAATAGCTAAGTGATGATCAGTACTTTTATATCAATGAAGCTAGAGTGAGGAGATAGCTAGGAGAAGATCATTGCATTCTGCATGAGGAGTACTGAATCAAGAGTCCTTACTATTTCAGTAGTTGTTTAGAAACCATTTCTACTCAGAAGCATCTAGTATTTGTCAGTGCTGAACCACAGATACGGTCCCAAACACTGTTATCGAGGTTTATACCAAATGGCCCATATTATCTCTGGGAGTGTGTATGTACACAGCACTTTGTAAACTGCAGTTTCTCCTTTGTACAACAGAGATTCTTTATGCTCAGGGGCAAATTATATCCACATCAGACTATGCATTTTTAAAAGGCCTAATTAATTTATGCAAGATACCTTTGATAACCTGCATATAGTAACAAAGTCATAATAAAACAGTAAAAGATACTCTACATCCAAAGCTCCAGGTTTAGTGAATGAACTTGCCATTAATTTTTTTTTTTTAAGAGGCCGGAACCTTTGCATTTTGCCAAGCACAGCTTTGCCTAGCTCACTGTATATCCATGTCAATGCATATACTGTATGATGTATGTTTTGTAACATGGAATGCTATGAACATAATCACATGTGCTACACTTTGGCTAATACATGTACTATGTATACTTATGTATCATACTTATATGCATGTGAACAAGCACAGGATGGGGAAGTGGGACCCCCACATCTTACTTAAATTTGATATTCTTTTATCTAATATTATTCAGAGATGCCCATGTTTGAAATATGTTTCTGATCTTTTTTGTGTGTGAAAATATAAAAAGCTCTTCTAAGAATAGGAAGCCAGTTTAGGAATGAAACTTCCTCTCTTGCTTAAAGGGCTGTGTTTTCCTATGCAAATGTAGCAAAGCCCAGAAATTAGCAATGACTGCTAAATTAACACACTTGAAGAGCTTGGCTGGTTCTAATAGGCAGTCAAATGGTCTTGTTACATTGTAATGGTGCCAAGCTAATTGAAGTGATTACTGTTGCTCATGAGCAGCCTTTTTGAAGTAGAAGTCTTTTAAATTATCCATAGACGTTAAATGTCAGACACTATTGTGTAATTATACTTTGTAAATGCTGAATGTCATAAGGCATCACAGGTAATTGAGGTTTACAGAGAGGAGCTTTTTCTAAACCTAATTGGGCATCAATTCTTTGTCACTTTTTCTAAATCTAATTGGGCATCAACTTTTTGTGCCAGGGGACACTCCAGTGCCTCACAGTCTCCCTTTCTCCCCTCCCCTCTCCCTGATAGACCTCCTCATGGGGCTCTACATGCCAAGATGTTTCCAAACCACTGGGCTAACAAACGGCTGTTTGTCTCACCCTGTGGCGTCTTCTGGGATTGTGATGCTGGTTTGGGATTTCACAGACTGAAGCTTTCTGAAGCCTGATGTGGCTATCATGGCAGAATGAGGCCATCTGAGTGAAGCATCCCTCCTTGGAATCTCAGTGTGTCCTGGGAATTTCACTGGTTTGGGATGGGGTACTGCATGTCATTTTTGAGATACTGGAAGCAGAGGTTTTATACAAACCTAAAACAGCCCTTTGTTTTCGACCCCTCTTGTTTTTTTAGGTTGTGTTAGAGTTCATATCTTCCCTTCCAGTTAAAAACACATTCAAGCAAGCAGGTTTTCACTATGCTTCTGTGATAGCAACGTGCACCCTGAGGCAAGCTTCAGGTTTTTGTGTCTGACCTGTGTGTGCCCTGCTCTGACCAAATCGTCCAACTTGACTTACTAGTGAATAAAGCTAAATGTCTTGATCTCCACCATGAATCCTTCAGCTTGGCTGGCTGACAATATATTAAAAGAACACTGATTTTAATCAGTGCCTAGAAGGAAATACACAAAAAAAAGACTTGTGTGATTCTTCATATGTATGTCTAATTGGTCACCGATTTTATTAACCCAAACTGCTGTTATCTCACTCTGATGTCATGGCTGCAGCCTCTGTGTGTGCTTCTAGAAGATGTCACTTTATGAAGGTCCTGGCTTGTCAGGCTATCTTTCTCTGTGCTTTTAAAAAAGTATTCATTATTCTCTGTGACAAATTGAGTTGCAAGTAAAATGTTCTTTGACTTGGACAAGAAGACCCTGGGAGAAGCATTGGTGAAGGTAGAAAGGCATATGAATACTTTCAATGCTAGAAAACAACAACAAGAATGTTCTTGCTGAGTGCATTGGAGAGTTTTCTAATGTCTGAAGATAGATGCAGGGATGCTCACACAGATGTGCTAAAATGGTCCAGCCTTGTAATGGGCTTCAAAGAAGAACTCATATTCATTGATTGTGATTCATCTCATTGTGGTACTGAAAAGGCAAATTAAATGGGGGACTTTTTATAGATTACAAGCAGTATACAGATACTTGTCAGAAGTAACACTGAGCAGTAAGTGTAGTTTTCTAAGCATCACTTTGGAAGGTGCCTTTTGTGATGTGCCTGTCAGAGAAGAACAAGGTTCAAGGATATTATTAAAGTTGTTAGAAGTTTCAAGTAATAATGTGCAAGGTGCTGCACAAAATGTTGAATTATACATGGCTTTTGCACAGTGAGCATGTACAATCCTCTCTTCTGCTTCCTCCCTGAGCAAATTATACCCCTCTTGTAAGATTCTCACCCCAGTGTCTTAGAAGTCTTGCTTTCCTTATCAGTTACTGCCTCTGTTGTCCACTGTGGGAGCCCGTTCTCGGGTTCCTCGTGGCTTTACCCAGCTGGTCCGCATAGAGGATGATTAGGACCACGGGCCTGAGTGCAGGTGTCTGAGATGGTCTGCACTTGGCTGTGCTGGGGGAGGAGGTCTTTTGCTCCACCCCTTGGCGTCTCTATAAAAACCCTGGGGCAGAGACAGTCGGGGCCCATTGGAAAAGGTTCCAGGCCCTCTCGAGGCTATTATTTATTTTCTATCTGTTTATCTCCACAAGATTCTCTGCAATAAATCCTTCTATCTAATATTTCCTGCTGCTCGCACTCAAGAAAACTCTGGGGAACTGTGGGGGTGGTGGGTAAATGCCCCACAGTCCACATATAGCATGGAGGTTTAATGTAGAGGGGTGTCGATTCTTCTCAGTGTGGGCTCAATGGTTGGGATATGCAGGGACTGGTGGTTCATGGTTTTGCAGAATTCCTTATTTCTATTTTCTAGGAACCTTCCTCAAATATAAGAAAAAAGGTATGTGTGGTTTTGAATGGATTCACTGATGGCCCCTGGCCATTCAGTTGAAGATCAGAGAAACTCGTGAAGAACATGATGGTAAGTGGCTTTTTCTCCATGCTCCGAGAGCACGATGAGCAAGATGAGAATTCTCAGGGAAATCGTGCTGTAGGCTTTGTAGGACATGCATCAAGGCTGCTTACTATTTAATTCTAGCTCTTTGCCCTGGCACACGCTGATCTTGCATTTCCTTACAGTTAGATTAGGGTTATGTGATTTTATCCAGTTAGTTCTGAATAAAGTGATATGCCGTTTTAAGATTGGAGCACTTATTGACCAAACTGTAACCTCAGTCTCAGTCACAATAAATTCCCACCCCCCTCCACTTTGTCTCCTTCTACCTTGTGCAGCTGCCATTTCCTCTTCTTCCCCTCTATTCCACCCCCCTCACACATCTGGAGAGGATCTCACTCTGTGGCACAGGATGACCTCATACTTGTGAAAATCCTTCTGCCTCAGAATCTCCAGTATTAGGATTACAGGCATGAGCCTTGACACTTGGTTTAAAACCGGCATCCCCCAGAGACTTTGTTCTGTTTGTTATTGTGACTGGCAGTATTGAAGATGATGATTGCTCTGACTGCTAGAGCAGAGACCTGAATCAGAGCCACTGCTGACCTCAGTGGGCCTGTAGGGTGGTGAATTGGAATTTGCTATTATTGGCATTTTCCTTGCTGAAAAGCATAATAGCCTACTTGTTAAGCCATACCTAAAACACTAGCTCACCGAACCAACCATTAAGTCATTAGGGTCTATGTCAAGGGTTACAAATACAAATACCAGTGCCCATGAAACCATACTGAATGAAAGCAGACAGGCAGGCATGAGAAAGGACATGCTGTATCTGCATATAAAGAATAAGTACGTATTCCATACAAAGGCATACATTCTGGTTTTTCATTTTTTAATGTGACCTCTGATCTCTCTCTTTTGTAGTGACAGCCCCAGTAGGAACTCCTATACTTAAGATACAACAGAAGTCAAGCATGATGCCCAGTGACTGTTGACACTTGCTCTGTATGTGTTGGGAACACCGTTGGATGGATGGTGACAGAGACACTTTAGACCACACAAACCCTATCTAAATGAGGCAGCTGGCTTTTCCTTATCCCAAGGTAAACTTGACCTGTGGGAGTGTGAGTACAGAATACACAGCTTTCACTTTCCCAGGAGAACTTGAAGTTTAGATTTTGTATGAAATATTTTGAATTTAAATAATCTTAGGAACAACAAAACATACCACAAGGCTGATGGTGTATGACTTTTACCCTAGCCTACTGTCTAACAGCCTTTGATCATCAAGCTGCCACCAACAATGATTTTGCTTTTTTCCCCCCTTTATTAAGGAGGTTACATCTTAGGAACAGGATAAACATCAGCTTGCAATGTAATGAGACAGAATTGAAGCAAAACAGTAACAGATATCTGTTGATTTCTCATTATATGTTCAAAACCTTGCCAGTTGTAATGAGAGATACTGAGAAACAAAAGAAGCTCTGACTTGTAGAACAGATCTTGTTGGGCAAAATTGGCAAAAGCTACAATATAATGTCTAGGAAACGAATTGAGAAACAATTCCAATAGAATAAATAATATGACAGATTTAAACGAGACTATTACAATAAACAAAGAACTTCCTTTTCCATTAGTTAGAATTTTTTAAAGGAGTTGGTGGGATGTATGGAATGTATGTATATACCGTGTGTGTGTGTGTGTGTGTGTGTGTGTGTGTGTGTGTGTGTGTGTGTCTGTGTGTCTGTCTGTCTGTCTGTCTGTCTGTCTGTCTGTGTGTCTGTGTCTGACTGCCAGCTGGCTGTTAAGAGGAGCCTTGGTTGTCAGTATCCATGACACAGATGTCATTACCAAGCTTTATGTATGGTAGGGTGAACTACAACAATGCTGGAGTCACATGTCAAGCTTATTAAAAATCAAGACACTCAAGTATGCCACACCCCAGCCTTCTAAGGACAGGGATCTGAGTGATCTGTGCAGTAGATTCTGAAGCAGGCTCTCATGGAAGTACAACAAGCTGAAATCTGGGATACCTCAGCAGAAGAGCAAGCTGAACCCGAGTGAAGTTGAGCCTTGGGATAAGAATCCAGGCCGACTTATAATGCCCCTGCCCAACTTCCACTAGCCTGCAAGAAAAATGCTGTTCAGTAAAGCAGCAATAGCAGTTTCTCTTCTAAGACCCATGACTTCATTAGTCATGGTCTACTTTCATTCCTGTGCATGTGGGCATCTAGTTTCCCCATTTGTTGAAGGACTATCTTTTTACAGCACACATTTTTGGCCTTTGTTGAGTATCAGATAGTTGTAGTTATGAGTACTCATGTTTGTGTCTTCTGCTTTATTTCACTGGTCTACATATATGTCTGTTTTCAAGTTAGTACCATATTGTTTTATTGCCATAGCTCTATAATATATCTTTAAGTCTGGTATGCCAATCTCCCCAATATTATTTTTGTTCAGGATTGCTCTGGCTCTCTGGGATCTTTTTTGGTCCCATGTGAATGTTTGAATTTTTTTTTCTATTTCTGTGAATAATGTTGCAGGTGTTTTGATTGGGATTGCACTGAATCTATGAATTGCTTTGGCAGGATGGTCATATTCTGTGGTGTCTATTATGTTTCACTATGCATTTCTGCTGTGGATATCGCTTTATATAAATAAAGCACTGATTGGCCAGTGACCAGGCAGGAAGTATAGGCGGGACAAGGAGAGAGGAGAATTGAGGAAGGAAGAAGGAAAGGGAGACTGGCTGGAGCCATCGCCAAGACAAGGAAGATGTAAATACCAGTAAGCCACGAGCCACGTGGCAAAGTAAAGATTAATAGAAATGGGCTGAATATAAGAGTGAGAGCTAGACAATGATAGGCCTGAGCTAATGGCCAAGCAGTTTAAATAATGTAAGAGTCTGTGTGTTTATTTTATAAGTGAGCTCCGGGACTGGCAGGACTTGGCGGTGGGAGCTGGAGGAAAATTCTCCAGCTACACATTTCAGAGTCTGTTAATTTGGGGTCTCTCTTTCTTTTGGTAAGTTGGGCCAGGGTTCTGTCCATCTTGTTTATATTTTCAAAGAACCAGCTTTTAGATTCATTATTTGTATTTTCTTTGTTTCTATTTCATTAACTTCTGTTTTGATCTTTATTATTTCTTGCTGTGTACTAGATTTGGTTTTGGTTTGTTCTTATTATTCCAGACTCTTGGGTTGTGTCATTAAGTCACTTATGCTCTTTCTGATTTTTAATGTAGGCACTTAGGGCTATAAATGTCTCCTTAGAATGCCTTTAGATATAACAATAAACTCTTGGAGTGATATACAGAACAATAAAAATACATTGCTGAATGAAATGATGAAAATAATTCAGGATCTGAAAACTGAATTCACTAAAGACATAGAAACACTGAGTAGAACACAAGCTGAAATGAAGATGGAATTGAAAAACCCAATTAGAAAATTAAGGGGGAAACCTTACATGTAGAATAAGTCAAAGGCAGGATATCAGGACTCTAATGACAAAGCAGAGGATACAGAAAAAGTAAGCAAAGAATATAAACTTTTTTTAGAGCACAGGAAAAGAACATGCAGGAAATGTGAGACACCATCAAAAGGCCAAATTTTCTAGTAATCAGCATAGCTAAAGGAAAATAGTTGCAAGTTAGTGTCATAGACCACATCTTTAACAAGAACAAAGAGGAAATTTTCCCCAAACTGTATGGTAAGACATACCCATACAGATACAAGAAGCACACAGAAGTCCATCTAAACTAGACCAGAAAAGAAACACCCCATGGTATACCATAGTTAAGATACCAAGTATAAGAGCTGGGTGGTGGTGGGCACACCTTTAATCCCAGCACTCAGGAGGCAGAGGCAGGTAGATCTCTGAGTTCAAGGCCAGCTTTGTCTATCAAGCAACTTGTAGGACAGCCAAAGCTACATAGAGAAGGCCTGTCTAAGGGGAAAAAGAGATACCAAATATACAGAATGATGAAAAATGTTGAGAATTGCAAGAGAAAAAAAGCACAAATCACATAGAAAGGAAAACAATCAGAATAACAGCTGGTTTCTCAATGGAAACTCTGAAAGCCAGAAAAGCCTGAAGTGATACATTCCAAGTTCTAAAAAGACCATGGCTGACAACCAAGACTGCTATACCCAGCAAAACTATCTGCCATAGTTGAAGGAGAAAGAAAAACTTTCCATAATGCAAACAGCCTAAAACAACAACAACAACAACAATGAACCCTAAACAGAATACTGGAAGCGATACTTGGAACTGAAAAAAGAGGAGAAAACTAAGTTCAGTCAAGAGACTCTAGGAAGAAAATAAACAATTGATTTAGCACTCTATTATTTAAACAATAATTTTATGGCATACAAAGCACAACTAAGAACACAAACAAGAAAAAAAGACTGTAATCTACACATACCTTACACCTTTCAATAATTACTCTAAATATTAATGGCCTCAACTCTCCAATCAAACGGCACAGCCTGGCTAAATGGATTAAGGTACAAAATCCATGCAATTTTCTGTCTATAATAAATTTATCTTAGTTTTAAAAATAGATACCACCTTAATATAAAAAATGGAAAAAGTATTCTAGGCAAATAATATCAAAACAAGCAGGTGCTGCCACCCTAGTATCTGATAAAATAGACTCAAGCTAAAACTAACCAGAAGAGACAAAGAGGGCATTTCATTCCAATAACGGAATCAATTAATCGGGAAACTATTGCATACTAAACATATTTGCACCAAACTCTGGCATAGCCAATTTCATAAAAAGCATACTAATGGATTTAAAAACACAGATTAACACAAATCTAATAATAGCAGCCAATTTCAACAACTCACTTTCTCCAATAGATACATCATTCAGACAAAAAAAGAATAGAAAAACCCCAGAATTAAATGACATCTTACACCAAATGGACCTAACAGATAGCTACAGAGTATTCCACACAAATTGCAAAGAATATACATTGTACTTGGCAGCCCATGGAAGGTTCTCCAAAATAGATCACATGCCAGTACACAAAATAAACCTTTACAAATACAGAAAAATTAAAATAATCCTATACATCCTATCTGACTATTATACAATATAACTTAAAGTAGCAAATAAAGCTCTAACAAGCATATAAACTCATAGAGATTATACAGCTCATTACTGAAGAATGAGTGGGTCAAAGAAGAAAAAATCAAAATATTCCTGGAATTAAATGAAAATGACACAACACAGCAAAACCTTTGGGATTATTCTCTTTGAGTTCAGTAAGGTGTTTGTCTTGTTTAAATTCCTTAAATTCTTTGGTAAGTTTATTATTTTTCTTTTGAATGCTGTGTTGTGGGCTCATGTAGGTCCTGCTCATCAGAGAACACTTCTTTAGAACTAGTAGGTTGGATGGAAGGCAAGCTGTCTTGACCGGTCACATTATTTTTGTAATTTGGCCCAAGGATGTGGACTTCTTTCTTTGGTTGTGTGTCTGATGTGGTAATCTGACCTTCCTTAGACTGGATCAGTTCAGCAGATACATGACCTGAGCTAGGCCGGTTAAAGCTGGTGGATGAATTTTTTAATTGAACCAGGCAGATGGCTCCTATACCATAGGTTTGAAGCTAGGCTGAAGATGCAGAGATGGCAGTGGGCAGAGGGAAGGATGGGAGAAGGACAGTATCACACCAGTCAAAGGTGGCTCTTAAGGGAAGCAGGTTCAGAAGCCACTGATCTGGTGCTAGGCCTGTGGTATGGGGAGGATGCAGGCCCAGGGTAGTGTTGGAGTCAGGAGGGATGAGAAGGGGAAGTGACTTACCCATCAGAAGTTGATCGGTAACAAAGAGAGTTCATGGGCTGAGGTCTGGAACTAGGCTTGTGGGTTTGCAGATCATGGAGGGAAGGCAAACCATTATCCAGAGAAGATTAACTATAGTCCAGATTTAGGTCTAATGTCTACATTGGTTCCTCAGTTGTCTTCTCCCCTTTTCCTCAGCCCTCATCTTAGAAGCATCCTTGACTGGCATATCTCCCAACATGTTGCCAGAGAAGCATTTCAACCTCACTTGCCTGATGAAATCCCATGAACAACCACAAAAATATAAAGAAT